CAGACTGCACGTACAATTATTATTTGCTCTTATTCCATAATGGGATTCTCGTGTTTTTTCATCGCAGTACTGCCGGCTTTTGGAATATCAATGAGACTGACTCCCAACATTACGGATCCAGGAAGACCAATGGTTTTACAAACCCATTATATTTATGACGTAACAAAGAGCCCGCAATACGAACTGACATTTATTAATCAAGCTATCTTTGTAACAATTGCAATGATCGCTTACAGTGGAATAGATAATTTTCTTAGTCTTTTAGTTTTTCATATATGCGGCCAATTAGACATACTCGAAAATCGTTTGAATCATTTGGATAAATATATAAATTATAACGAAGTGTTGAAATGTTGCATAGCAAAACATATACGTTTGCTCAGGTTGGTTATTTATAAGAAAATATATAAAAAATAAAATCTAAATAAATATGTGGTAAAATATATTTAGTACATTATATATCTTTTATATAGAGCTATTGATGTTATTGAAGATACATATAATATAATACTTCTCTCCCTATTTATATATTTTGCACTCCTCTTCGCATTTTATGGATTTCGAATGATCAGTGTAAGTATGTATGTAATAGTTTAGATAACAATTTGTAATAAAGAATTACTATATTTACATGGCATGTTATTATAAAATTTTTAATTAATATTATTTAAAAATTTATGTTTTTAAAATATTCCATAAATTAATTAGCTGTTTGATGAAGAAAATGATGTATCATTCACTCACTTAATATATTTTATATCCACCATTCTCAATATATTTGTAAATATGTGTTTATATTGCGTCCTCGGTGAGATTCTGATGACCCAGGTTAGCTGTATACAATTAAATATATAATTTTACTTTTTTAAATATTTATTATTTTTTGTATAAACTGAATGTTGCATAATTAATTCTATAGACTATATTGTATAATAATAATTAATTTTTATTTAAATGTGCAAACAATATACACAATAATTTTAATCTAAAATTTTTTTTATCTAAAAACATTTTTTATATTTTCAAGTGCAATAAAATATATTTTGCGGCATATAACAACAAATGGTACATCCTAAATTCGAAAATTGTAGAAAATTTGTTTTTTTTAATGACAAGAGGTTCTAATCCAATCTATCTCACTGTGGGAAAAGTGTCTCCTGTTACAATGGTCACGTTTTGCAACGTAAGATATTTTAATGTTTTACTTTGACTATCACATTAAAATATTGATATCTGAAATTTTATTAAAAATTATTTTACAATCCCTAAACTATATTTTAATAGATAAATATAGAATTTTTTATTTTAATTTATTAATGTACAATATTATAAACTTTATTATTATGTATCTATTGAGCATATACTATTAACTCTATAACCATTAAAAAACATTTTCAGTTAGTAAAAACATCTGTTGGTTATATATCCGTTTTGCACACAACGAAGAGTTGATAGAAGAAATGAGATGTTCTTTTTTCATCGTTATTATGCCATTTGCGTTAGAGTACAAGCTTAAAAAGTGTGCCAGTATTAATATGTTATTTACAAGTAAATAAATTTTGTTGCAATATTTGAATGAAATACATTGTGGAATATGTTCTATTAAAAGTAGTAGAAGTTAGAAATTTAATTGTTTAAGATTCCTGACTACTTAGCCAAGAACTCCGCGTCTGACAATTGCAATGGCCACACCATATCGCAGTAGGAATTGGAACATTGGTTTATCGTATTAGGTCTGTTTTTTGTAATACATCATATTTCGATGTTATAAGTCATAAACTGTAAAAATTCTACAAAATGTGATATGCCGGTAAACAGTAAGAATTGATTAATCTCAGCCAAATGTGAAAAGAATACTCGATTTAAGGAGAGTATGACGGACTTTACTGTGAAAAGTACTGACAAATTTTGTGTTACGTGCCATTTTTTTATTACGTGTTTAATTGTGCTGTTGAAGAGAGTGAAAAATATGCTTTTCATATGTATAAAATTCAAACAAAACTTTAGTTAGCATCCATTTTTACAAATTTGGTAAATGTGACTTTTCTTGTACTTACCAAATTTGTAAAAATGGATGCTAACTAAAGTTTTGTTTGAATTTTATACATATGAAAAGCATATTTTTCACTCTCTTCAACAGCTGTTGTGAGTTTTCTTGCCTGAATAGACTTCACTTTTCGTGTCTTTTTTATGACTATTTATTATATTTTTTTTTGGCTGTTAGAAGGAGAAAAGATCAAGTGATCATATTATTTCATCCAAATTCTCTTTACTTGAAAATGGCACGCAACAAACTTTTACATGTCATTTCTCGCGATTCCAATATGCCCGCGCGACTATAGTCAGAAGCCTTATCTGTTTTTTCATGAACTATGAGACCTGACTATCTAATTAAAGCATTAATTCTATTTTTTCACACTTTATATTTTTATACAGTATTATATAATAAAGGAAAATTAGTTTCAAACTCCATTTAATTAAATAGAAATTTTAATAACATTTCTTTTCATATAAATTGAAATAAATTCATATAAATTCTTTTCATTAAAATTTTTATTTATTTTGCTTATAAATAATATAAAGAATGTCGCACAACTTCTATACTTTAATAGCGTACTTTAAAATCCAACTGAAATAAAAAATCTCACATTAGATAATTTCATGTTAGTAATATAATCATTTATAACAAATTTCTTTGGCACTCTGTAGAACAATGTAGTGATGAATCATTTACGTCTCATAAGGTATATAAAAAAAATTTCTTTTATAATTTTATCAAACTGCTATAAAAATATTCAATAAACTTTTTATAAATATATTAATTTATAATATTATTAACTATACATGTTATTTGAATAACTTCATATAATAATTTTTGTGTGTATAGTATCTATTTTAAAGATTTTAATATAAAAACGAATAATATATATACATAAATTTTCGAAAATTTATTTTAAAAAAGTTCATAGAAATGATACAAAATAACTTCTTTATTGTCCGTTACTAAATATTGTTATAAGCAAGTGAGGTCTATAGAAGTGTGGGAAAATAACCGATGTACTTACGCGTGCTGTTTTTGTTAAACCCTATGTAATTTTTTATTCGCACATGTTTCGCGTGACGATCGATGCGGAAAACTTAATGGAAATGGGAAAAAGGTGGAAACAGAATATTTAAAATAACTTTGTAGCAAGTTGATCGTTCGATACTTTCGAGAGTATTGTAGGCATGCGTAATGCTTTTTACTGTACAGGAGACAACACCATCGATTCATGAAAAGGGAACAGCCGTCAGTCTTTAGACAACATTGAATATGGAAAGTTTGAAATATGACAGATACCAAGGTGTTTATGATTTTGGTTATTGTAATTATATGTAAAAAAACATTAAAAAAGATCTTTTACTTTACAATATGTGCAAATAGTAATATCATTTATAATATTAAAATATGTCTTCTTTCGATAACAAAAAATTAACGATTTTTTCAGTTATTTGGGTTGTCGCCTTTTGCAGTGAACTTGAGCTTCTTATATACATATATCATATCAAATTATTATAACAATATCAGTTACATTTAATTACAATAACTTGAACTCAATCTTTATTGTGCATTATTCATTATTTAACAAATAATTACACGACTAACCCAAAGTAGAGTTCAAAAATATTTTATTTTAAAATATTTTACGCAGTCCGTTCGAATTAATGATATATATACTTGAGTTTAAAATTGTGTATTGTACATTCTCTTATTAATAGCTCTGAACTTATGAAGGTTTCTGCAGGTAGATTTTGAATGGGCGGTGAAACTAAATCGTTTCACTTTAGATTTGGTTGGACTTTGGCCTATAAACATACAAAATCCTTGGCAGAAGTTAATGTGCAATTTTCGAGCACTGCTAACTTTTCTGGGATTAATCACTCTTTTTATTCCTACTATACATTCTCTGATAAAAATTTTCGGAGACAGTTTACTAATGTTAGATAATTTACAATTTACTATACCCCTCATGAGCTGCTTGATTCGAATCATAATTTTTTGGTGGAAAAAAGAAGGTATACATCATTTTTTGTTATATATATATAAACTGTAAAAATGTGATAAATAACCTACATATATGTTGATTGTTTAGATTAATATTAATGGCATTAAATACATATATGCAGATCTCTCAATTCTCTTAGTAAAATTAACATACAATTAATGATATGAAAATATTTTTTTTGTACGTGCACTATGCCAGTATATTTGATAAATAATTTATAAGTCATTTATTTTAAATATATTTTATATTTCAAAAATATGTATATATTAATTGTATGTAGAAGCATTATTGTTCAAAGCCATAAAAATTACATATAAAATTATTACTTTAATTTTAATTTTAATAATAAATAACGAAAATAAGATAAAGTGTACAATAAGACTTCCGATTACAAAATTAATATTTTTATTGATTTAAAATAGTAATATAATTTTTAAAAAATATCAAACTGGTTCATATAATTAAAAATGAAAAAAGTATTAAAAGAAGAGTTAGTGAGCCTTGAGCGGAGTTAGTACTGTGATATAAAGTATATTTAACCATACTAATTTGCACCCAAACATTTCGGTTTTGCATTGAGCCATCCTCAGTGGGTAAAAAATACAAAATTTCTTAATACATTACATTAATAATCGTTTGAGCGCTGTAACTATTAATGTAATGTATTAAGAAATTTTATATTTTTTATTCTGAAGATGGCTCAATGCGGAGCTGAAACGTTTGGGTGCAAATTAGTATGATTAAATATACTTTATACCACAGCACTAACGACGTGCAAGGCTCTAACCCTTCTTTTTTAATATAATTTTTTTTAAAAGTTTTTTAAAAATAGTTAAGTTATTTCGATCTTTTTTTTTACTTTTTTTTTTACTGTTTAAAATTAAACTTAACATAGTTCCATTCAGCGCGTAAAATACACTCGACAGCAAAATTAAAGCATCACCCATTCTGATCACTAAAAATAGGCAAATTTCAAGAGAGTGTAACTTCGTCAAAAATGATCGTTTCGGAATGATCAAAAAAGCATTTTAAAGCTTAAAG